AAAAAAAAAAAAAAAAAAAAAAAAAAAAAAAAAAAAAAGCAGAGTAACGCTATTTCTAAAGATGCCTTCTTTGAATATTCAATCACAGATCTTCTAGAAATCAATCAAATGCTGCAGAAACTGTGGAACAAAAGGGAATGGAGTGGAAGGCATTTGAAAGATGGCACCCCCTGAAGATGACAGGGCTTCATGAAGAATATCATAATATTTGAGAGACAGTGAATCCACACTAAGTGGTAAGATGAGAGCCTAAAATACATTGAACTTATGAAGAAGACTGGATTGAGGAAGAGTATGATATAATGACAGCTGGACACATACATCTACAGTGAGTGACCTCTAACATGAGGAAAGCAAGCTACTGAACTGCACAAAATTCTCAGCACCATCTAGATATCTTGCTGGCAAAAGAGTCAACCAAAGTTAGAAGAAGTTCAACAGACAGATAAGAACACTGGGCTTGCCTCTAATTTTAAGATCAAAACCAAAGTGAGAAACAGAATGGGAGAGGCAGATTGGATAATGAACAACCGCAGAGCAGCCGAGAGAAGATGAAAACTCCCAGACAAAACTACTGGTAAGAGCTGACAAGCCAGGCGGCGGTGGCGCACGCCTCTGATCCCAGCACTCGGGAGGCAGAGCAGGCGGATCTCTGTGAGTTCGAGGCCAGCCTGGGCTACAGAGGAAGTTCCAGGACAACCAAGGCTACACAGAGAAGCGGGTATAGGGGGCGTGGGGGGTGGGGGTAGGAGGAGGGAGAACTGACAAAAGACAGTGACCTTGTCCACCCACACAGGGTAACTCTGTTCTAACTCCTTTGCTGTTTTTGTTGCTGTTAAAAGTTTCATTTTGAAATCAGCTTAATAATTAGGTTTCCAAAGGCTTCTTCATACATCCTTATTTTAGCTAACCTGCCCACTACCCTCTTCTCCCCGACTCCCCATCCCCAGTCTTGCTGAATCTCTTAACACTCACTGTTACCCCTCTTCCTTCTTCTTACATGGGTCCTGTTATCCCATAACCGGGCAAACATTGAATTGTAGCCTCCCATATGGTTTTTCGTGCCGTCTTCCTTTGGGTCAGCCCTGTCCTTTACACCCTGATTTCCTCCACACTCCACACCCTTCCCTGTCACACTTCCACCTTCCTACTTTCCTCTTACCTATAACACACTCTTCCTCCCCTCACATGGTCCCCCCAGATCTCTTTCTGGTTTGCACACCGCAACTTGTGCTCCAACTTAAATATGCAAAATACAATACTTGAAATGAAGATCTGTATATGAGAGAGAAGATGGAGTGTTTCTCTTTCTGAGTTACTTCACTCAGTATCTTTTTTTCCAGTTCTATCTAAATAGATAGAATCTGCAAATTTCATGATTCCATTTTTCTTGACAGTTGAGTAATATTCCACTGTGTATCCATGCCCCATTTTTCTTACCCATTCATCTGTTAATGAACATTTAGGCTGACTGTTTGCTGGCTACTGTGACTGGAACAGCAGTGAGTGTGGATGTCTAAGCGTCTGTATAGTAGGATACAGATTGTTGTGTATTTGCCCTGGAATGGTATACCTGGGTCATATGGCAGTTCTCGTCCTAGCTTTGGAGAAGCCTCCAGACTGACCTCTAAAGGGGCTGAACTCGTTTACACTCCTGTCAACCATTCCTCTTTCCCCACGTCACACCAGCACTCCTCATTTCTGTTCCTGATGATGGCCATTGCTCCTGGGATGGGACGGAATCTTAAAGAAGTTTTGATTTGCAGCTCTCTGATGGCTAAAGATGTTGAACACGTTCTAAAGGGTTTCCTAATCATCTGTATTTCTTCTTTGGACATTTTCTGTTTAGTTTCATAGTCCATCTTTAAATTGGGTTATTTTCTTATGGTTTAGGTTTTTTTTTGTATATTTTAGACACTAACCTATCAGGTGACTATCTGGAAAAGATTTTCTGTCAGCTGCCTATTCACTCATTTCACTATTTCCTCTGCTGTACACAGGCTTTAGGTTTCCCAAGATCTCAACTGTCGACTATTGGTCATATTTCCTTTGCTACTGGAGTTTGATTCAGGCAGTTCTCCTTATTTGTGCCTGCACGTTGATGTGTGCTCCCTACCTTTTCTTCTAGAAACTTCTGAGTATCAGGTCTTAAGTTGAGGTTCTTGAACCTGGAGTTCAGTTTTGGTGTGGTGAGAGGTAAGCATCCAGTGTGGGATATCTCTTTACAAGTAATTTGTCAGGGAAGCCCCAGAGGTCTCCAGAACAATACAGATGTGGTTGATGTATTGTGCACCCCAATAAACTTACCTGGGGTCAGAGAACAGAACAGCTGCTGTATTAAACATAGAGGTTAGGCAGTGGTAGCACACACCTTTAATCCTAGCATTACTGAAGCAGAGATCCATCCGGTTATCTCTGTGAGTTCAAGGCCACACTGGAAATATCCAGGCATGGTGACACACACCTTTAAGCCCAGCACTTGAGATCTCATGTCTTGCTTGGGAAAGACAACCGCCTTTAATCCCAGGAAGTGATGGCAGGAAGCAGAACAGTATATAAGGTGTGAGGACCAGGAACTAGAGCCCTCTTTAAGCTTTTAGGCTTTTAGCAGCAGATCAGCTGAGATCCATTCAGATGAGATTCAAAGGCTTCCAGTCTGAGGAAACAGGATCAGCTGAGGAATTGGTGAGGTGAAGTGGCTGTGACTTGTTCTGCTTTTCTGATCTTTCAGAATTCATCCCAATACCTGCCTCCAGGTTTGTTTTTATTAATAAGACCTTTTAAGATTCGTGCTACAGGCAGGCTCTGTCCATTGTTGTTGGTTACCCACCAAAACTACAAAATAAGACCCTCCTGCTGAAGACACCACATGCTTTAGCTGCAGGATACAGAGATATCAATCTCAGACCAGGATACTGGCTCTGTGCTGGGCTAGCTTGCATAGTACTGGAAGGTGCTATGCAGGCTGCTGAGGGGAAGAAGACACCAATGGTGTTACCCAATGCTGGACCATGAATGCTACAATATTTATTGTGCCAACTAGTACAATAGTGGTGTGGTAGTTTGAAAGAAAATAGCCCCCAAAGAGAATGGCACTATTAGGAGGTGTGGCCTTGTTGGCATAGGTGTGGTCTTGTTGGAGGAAGTGTGTCACTGTGGGGGCGGGCTTTGAGGTCATGTTCTCAAGCTTCACTCAGTGCGACAGTCAGTTGACTTCTTGTTGCCTGCCTGTCAAGATGTAAGGACTCTCAGCTCCAGCACCATGTCTGCCATTCTCCCTGCCGTGATGATAATGGACTGAACCTCTGAAACTGAAAGCAAGCCACCCCAATGAAATGTTTTCTT